TAGCTATAAGCATAATACATTTACTTGGAAACTTACCTTCAAACCACCAGGTCCTTCCATCCTATCTCACATTTGCAGCACTTTGCGCAGAGGTAGCGTATCGGGCCACCTATTCAGTTCAACACACATCACTTTCAATCGTTAAGCTGGCGAAGACCTTCGGGAATTTGTGTCGTAGGGGCTTAAGGACGGGAGCGAACCGGAGAAATCTGTCTGTGACGAGGAGAGCGAGCTCAAACGGGGTTTCACGTGCTGAAATGAAGGGTGTGGGTTACACAATATACTTGGGCTACACAAAATGGGGTGACCACATAATGGTGAGGCTACACTTAAGCAGCACCAGACATCTTTTGCTGTAGGCGCTCTAGCAGAGCGTTTTCATAGCTTGAAGACGCCGTCAGGCGCGCGCTGATCGCTTCAGGTCCTTGCGAAGCGAGGTGTTGCACGCCCCCAGGGCCAAGCAGAGACATCAGCTTTTTATGCTTGTCCTGCCTGCCCTGGGGCAAATAGGAGATCTGCTACATCCTCACAGAGGATCAGTCTAAACGACTCAGGTGTCGATTGGCAATAAGTGCTACCAATTGCAGCGGGGCTGCCGTAGCTCTTTCGCCTGGAGGAAGCTTGGAAGGTCGGTAACCTTCGTTCTATACCAAGAATCAGTACGAGTGTAGCGGATCGCAAGCTGCTTATTCCAGGAGTAAATACAACCTTATCCCAAGGCTAACTAACTCTTTCATGTAAAATGTAAACTATATTTCTCGCGGCAACGCCGCTTATACCTAAATCTATAGTTTTTCCTGTCTATATAGTTTAATCTAATTAAATGTATAACTAATGGCTGTCCCAGCCACGTACCGCCTCGTCGACTGCGTCCATGGCACCATCGTCGACGACGGATGACTTCCCCCCGACCCAAGCCGCTCATGGTGAGTGTAACGGGGTTACGCATACCCTGGTGATAGGAGTGTGTGTCACACCAGATGGGCATGGTGTGACCACACCCAAACAAGAATACGGTGGGCTGGATAGCCAAAAGTTGTACATGTATTTAAATTTTATGAAATCTATACATTTAAAATTAGGCGGCTTTGCCGCAGATAAAGATAAATAAAGTCATTTTTGAACTTAAACCGAAGAGTTAATTAGCCTTGGGTTAAGGCTATAATTTCTCTTGGAGTAAGCGGATTGTAATCCGCTAAACTCGTACTTGTTCTGAGTATAGAACGAGAGGTCGGTGACCTAACTTACGCTTCTTCGAAGCGCAAAGCTACGGCAGCCCCGCTGCAGTGAGTGTTAAGACCTTCGAGGACAAGGATGAAAAAAATTTCTGCTATGGGCGAGAGATGTCAAGATGGCTATGCCGCCCGCCATGCTGCAGACTGAGCAACAGCGCGTGGCGCTGGCTATCTCCAAGCTCGGTGGTCGAGCGCGAGAATGGGCACTACTTTGGTCGAAGCGGCGTTTCCCTCCCGGACGGAGCTGAAGCTACAGCCTTCACGAGTGTTCTCGCCGCCTAACTAGGCATATCGTGTGCGATCGCGTTTCCTTGCCGCCCGACAGGGAGAGAAGGAATTGGTGTAATTTGTCTTAGAGTTGGGTACTCTAGTTGCCTGTGGATCATTTGGCTCTTCTCGTTGAATAGTGACATATACTTAGAAATAAGCTGATGACCAGATACAGATGACTTCAATACATACAATATGAGAATTTTATGTTTTGCGTAACACGAGGGTAGCAGTTCACATGCTGCACGGACATATCCTTTACAAAAAGTTTTTCTTGATCCGTACTTCTGAGCAGTGCAATCTGTACGTTCACCATACTATGGTATACACCCCCATCATGCACTACATTCACATTTATCATTCATTGACCATTGTACAACAGATGAACTTGGTATTAGCTCGAAATAAGCTTAGTTTATATGTCATCTTGTTATTCGAGAGGCTCTCGGTTCGACTCCCGGATTAAGCGCATGAATTTCTTCTGTGTCCTTTAGCTAACTCACAAATCGTTGTGTCAATGTGTCCTTTGTTTAAGGTGTGTGGCAAGCTGAGGCATATATGAAGCTACTTTTATTTGCTAGCATGAAAGAGCTTACATATGCAAATGTATCAATGCTGTTGGCGACCAGCTGTTCGCATGAATGATCCTATTTCACAAGGTAATTTTAAATGCATTAAAACGACACTTACCGGTAGTTTGCACGTATGCGGCTTTGGAACATATCGACAGTAGGTTTGCCTTCTCGCAGTGCGTTTGCCGGCGGTGGGGGGGCAAAAGCCACGCGGAGACTTGGTAACGAAGGCCGTCTATCTTGTTTAGCTCGCCAAAAATGACATGTGGAATCTCTATACCCGTTAAGCATCGTGCATTTTTGAGGTTACTAATTTTGCTAACCTTCATCACGGACATATCATTGAGATCGTCCATTAAATCATCTTTCAGAGCAATCTATTTCCTTCGTAAAGCTGCAGTAAATGGAATAAATGCCATGTTGATGACGAAAATCCCACAGACTGAACAGGTTGAGAGGGTCTCGCTCTATACATGATTGTGACAATTAATTTCAAGCACAATTATGCCAGATAAATCTAAAAGCTTCGCAAGTTTTTGCCTTGAGAAGGCGATAGTAACGACCGCATACATTGACAAAGTAATTATTGCCTCATCTGATAAACCGAATACCTGTTTGACCTTTAAGCTCGTATGTAAACCTGTTTACAGCAGAACAAGAAGCACGTGACATAGTTGCTTAAATCGTGTTTGGCATCTTTGAGAACACGTCCGCGTACCCTTGAGTTTGTACAAGGGATGCTTAAGTCACCGAGCTCCTCTCTCGCGGTCCTGTTGGAACCTCGACCCAGATCAGCGACAGTGCAAAAACTCGAATTTAGAACTTTATTAGCTGCGGCAGAAATACAAAGCAGAGCATTCCAGCGGGACAAACTTTTTTATTTGACCAAGGCGCTGTGGCGGAGCTTTTATAATTAATTACCAAGCGCGGCTACCCTTAGTATTGAGATGATACGAAAAAACTGCTCGACGAAATTTTATCTTAGCCGAATTACCTATACACGCGCAGTACTCGCTGCTTCTCGACCATATCTCTGGTGTGATTCGGGCTGCATATGAAAAGAAGCACTGTAATTTATACTATCTGCACAGCTTCCAATCAAATTTGAAAATGCGCACATGCAAGTTGTTTTAGGCATAATGTATATTGAGTGAGGTATTTAGAGGAGCAGTAACTGGTCAGCGTATTTGATACCAAAGGATTGCAGGTATATACGGCTCGAATATCCAGTATGAGGGGTCCTGTGCTGTCTGTTTTGTGCACAATCTTATTCAAACATAAAGTCCTTCAGTAACAAGAGTCTGCAACCTGCCTCTTATATATGCATTAAGATTGTAATCGCAAATCGACATCCAAGTGCATTAAGAAGTGCAAGTAGGTCCACGAAGCTCATCCACGACAACCCATAATTTCACTATTCAATTCTTCACAATGCTGGCAGTCAAAATGTCTCTCAAACTTTTGTCTGCGTATTATCATTACTTTCATTATTGCCATCTGACACGCTGCATGTTCATCAACAGGCTGAAAACTATTGAGTTGCCTGTCAAGCGGGGTCTTCGCTTTGCAAGTTCTGCGTCGAGCATTAGACCGCCGTACTACGATGTAGTGGTTGCTGGAGGAGGTGTTATGGGCTTCTCGACCGCCTATCACCTCGCCATTTCCGACCCAAAGCTTACGATTGCTGTTGTGGAGAAGGATCCTAGCGTGCGTAAGCAATGGTCTTTTCTTGATCGCGTAGTTGACTCACTGTGCGTCTTTGAATTTTGATGCAGTACAAGTATGCGTCAGCAGTTCTTTCGGCTGGCGGAATTCGTCACCAATTTTCCGAGACGGAAAATATTGAAATGAGTCTCTATGGCACTGAATTTTTGCGTCATATCGGCACAAATTTGAAAGTGGATGGTTACGACACTCCTGACGTGCAGTTTGTCGAAGGTGGTTACATGTTTCTGGCCAGTGAGCAAGGCCTGGATGTACTTCATCAGAATTACGCTACACAGAAGGCCACAGGTGCAGATGTGCAGCTGTTAGACTCTGTAGCACTGAAGAAGCGATTTCCATGGATTAACAGTGACGGTGTCGAACAAGCTATTTTGGGTGTCAAAGACCAGGGTTGGTTCGATCCCTGGGCTTTATTGAACGCTATGAAGCGTAAGAGTGTGGCACTGGGTGTAAATGTGCTCGAAGGCGAGGTCAAACACTTTGACTTAAGGGGACAAAATCAAATCGAAAAGGTGCATATTGAGGTCAAAAAATCATCGGATGGCAACGGCATGCGCTATAACTCGGTCCGCGCTGGTGTTGTCGTGAATGCGGCAGGCTGCTGGTCAAGTAAATTGCTTGAAGCTTGCGGCAGCTTTGATTATCCTGTAAGGCCGCGTAAGCGCTCCATGTTCGCCTTTCACTGTGATGCCGAAGAGATCTGGAAGGGAGATGCGGCGACACCTCTTGTTGTGGATCTCAATGGAGTTTATTTTCGCCGGGAAGGTGCAGGTGGTCGATTCGTCTGCGGGTGGTCTCCAAATCCCGAGGATGACTACGACGGGCAGACCACCGACGAGCTTGATTTCCCGGATCACAATCACTTTGAGGAGAAAATCTGGCCTACAATAGCACACCGTGTTAAGAGCTTCGAGGCTATTAAAGTGCTGAGTGCATGGGCTGGATTCTATGATTACAATACTTTCGACCAGAATGCAATAATCGGCTTGCATCCGGATGTTCCTAATATGTATGTTGTCAACGGCTTTAGTGGTCATGGCTTACAGCAATCTCCGGCCGCCGGTCGTGCGATTGCTGAGCTTGTCATCCACGACAAATTCCAGACGATTGATTGCTCACGTTTCAGCTTTGACCGCATTCGTGCTAATGTTCCGTTCTTGGAGCAGGGGATTGTCTAGCGTCGCTAAAGCTAGATTACAAACTTCTTTGACTTACATTTATTACAACGAAGAAGCGTACTTGTACCCATTTACGTTCCTTAAAATATGTAATTGCGTACACTACCATTACGTTGACAATTCGTAGTGCGGTGAGTGTTGACAAGTTGATTGACGTAAACTGAAGAAACAGAGAAGTTATCTGGCAACGTTATGTCTTCGTGTTTTGAAATGGCCAAAATGCACCAAAGCTACTCTCTACCCACCAATAGACAATAACAGCATATCTAAGGCGGTATGTAGATAAGCTATGCGAGGCAAGCAACGCTCGATGTAAGCGAAGGAATAATTTCATTAAAACTGCTATCGCAATGTATTTAAAGGGTTTGTCCTGTGTAGTGGTTGCCCCCCCTCCCTGTATGTCACTGACTTCTCTGTAAGATTTTCATGAGTGTTTAGCAACTTAATCATACCTACCTCCTACCAACTTGAAACTCAGGCCTCAGCGATACAAGAATTCCTTTGCTTCTGTCAGTTCGGCAGTCAGTGCTTCACGTTGCTTGATCATTGCTATATCTAGTTCATCCCGCTTTAATTTGTAGCTGTAGCCATTGGCTAGTACCTTTTTGAGCATTTGCTTAATCATTCGACTCTTGCGCTTGATCTCAGTCAAATCGTCGACACTAGTACCGGATCTGGACTCAAACTCACCAACGGCAATGCGCTCAAGGTGCCAGCCATTGAGTTCACTCATGCGAGCAGTGGGGGCACTCAGATCTAAAATTTCGCGGTAGTTGTCCACGTTACGTCGTTGCTACATGGACAAATAGAAATGTTACTAATTGCAGATGAGAATAGTGTTGTCTACAACATACGTCGTACAATTCCGCCAGCTCTGTCCATTTGCCATCTAGGCTATTACCAGTGTAGAGCTCACACAGATTGCAGATAGCAGTTGCAGCCGTGACACTTGTCGCTGTATTGCCATCTTTTCGCATGCCTTTTGGAAGCATTATAATCAGCTTAAATTATTCGAATCCAGATCAATTAATTACTAGTTAGACAAAGGTGTCACAGCGAATACGACTTAATAGTAATGCTTCTGCTTCTCGTTCGATTTTTTCTTTGCGGTTACATCTCATAAAAATGACCTACCAATTCTAAGATTTTGCACATCATGTCCATTGGCTACAAGAGCTATCAACACAATGAATTTTTCAGATCTGCTTCATCGTTGTTTTCCATGTGCATGGTGGCCGATTCATATTGTGATTATGAAGAGTGGTTCAGATTGTTTTGCTCACATTTCGTTTGTCTATTTAAGAACTGCGCACAACGGAGCGCCAAAGGAGCAACCTCTGCGCTAGAAGTCTAACTCGATCCTTTGCACTTGCGCACCTTTGCATGTAGTGTTGGAAACCACGCCAAGTAACTAACGATGATGTCCAGCTCATCGTAACAAGCTGGGTCTGAATTTGGAAAACTAATTTACTCATCTGCAACAACAAGAGTCACACCAACACTTCAAGATATCCTTGTCGTTACTTTGGTTTCGAGCCATCTGAAGTTGCTCGTCACGCTCCGGTGCGACTGTTAGACGTCTTACTTAACGGGCGGACCATCGGTCACACCGAGAGCCAAAAAGTCCCTCTGCAAACGCTTTCCAACCCACGTATCACCACTCCTCAGCAATACTTCGTGAGCTAAGAGCAGCAGTGGCTGGGAAACCCATTTTTTTAAATCAAAGATGGCGCTCAACGCGCCCGTCCGCTTCCTTGTGGCTTCGCTATAAGGTCGATAGCAATGAAAGTTTCCGGTGCCGCTGTACCCATCGCTCAAAGAGCTCCTCTTCATCTGCAGCAATTTCGCTAGGGGCGATAACCACAAGAATAGTCCACATCGAAGGTAGAGGAACGCCTTCATTTGAGCTCGAAGTCGATCGCGATGCCTATCAATTGGGATTCCTTGAGGTACCAAGAAGCGAGCTCGGAGAGCTTTCCGCTGGTTAAGTTTATTTTGTGTGTAGTGGCCGGGGGCCCGACTTCTTAGACGAGTGGTGGCGTCTTTCGCTTCAATAGCGGAATCCGCCGAGCAGAAGCGTATTTCAAAAGATGGTCTAGGACCGAACATGGATACGAGTGCATGAGAGCCGCCCTGCCGGCAGCCTCCATCTGCTGCTCCTGTGCCTCGTCAAGACGATAGTTAACAATACCACTTCCCCTGAATGCCAAGAAGTCGGGGAACAGACACGGTATCCGCAAGGTTCGAGAGCTGGGCTCACGTCGCGCCGTTGGCGCACCTCATCCTCATAGTCTTTGCATGCTGAGAAAGGAGTATCGACTCCCTCCGAATCCCCAACGAGGATATTCGTCGCCCAGGGCAGGCGGTGTGTGTGGCTCTCGGTCACGAAGGGCTTGGGATGTGCTTCTTGTGAAGCCGCGGACTTACTGTCCGGAGATGCACCCCGTGTAGCAGAAGAGGAAGGAATTTGGATACTCTTGGAGTTAGTGGATTGCGATCCTCTACACTCGTACTGGTTTTTGTAAAGAACGTATGGTCGGCGACCTTAGCTGAGCTTCCTCTAAGCAAAGAGCTACGGCATGAGGAGTGACATGCGTTTATAAATGGGTGAAGCTTGCAGTGGTACCAATATCACATTTTTAAATAGTAATTCACTGTATGGCATAGCGTGAGTCTAGCGGCCCACGTGTTCCACAAATCTCTCAACAAGCGCTAATCCTGATACCTCCTTGTGGTAATTCAATCTGGTACTTTTGAGCTTAGCTTCGAGTCTGAAGGATACTCGTGTTATGTGTTCATACAAAATGATAGGGTATGTTCATTTCGCACACACACACCTCCAAGAGTGAAACCGCTGCTGAAGTCACAATCATTTGTGTCTTATAACAATACTGCCCGTATTGGAAGCCGCAAGAACACCCTTGTGCCAAGACTTCATCTTCCCCTTCACAAACCTGTGCCAGCGTTATCGAGCATTGGCCATCTGTGATCCTCTTTTCCTGCTTGATTTGTAGCACATCACTTAGCGAGCCATCAGGAGACTCGTGGACGATAACCTTCAGATGGACAGCTCAGGTGTAAACGGTCACAAATTCTTCGAGTCTTAGCTCAGCACGTTACGTTCTCACCAAGAAGCATTCAACGATGCTGTTTTCCGAGGATGAGGCATTGTCCGCCCAACGTTTCACCTCAACACAAGCTGCGCGCTCGGTGCTCGCCCTAACGGTAGAAGGGATACGACACACGTTACAGAGCTCACGACTTTTAGCTTGTTGACATGGCTCGGAAGGCCAAGCTACCCCATTTACAAGTCAATCGGGATCAACGACTTCTGCCGACCCCACAGAGAATTCACATGTATCCGAAGCTGCTTGCCCTGACTGGGCTTAGCCCTTACAAATTGGCGTTTGCTCAGTCAATGAACAAGGCAAGCGCTTTGAAATTGCTTCATTGTGGCTCGCTAACTCCGCAAGGCACCACTTCTCAGAAGCATTGCCTGTGGATCGACGAGCAGCGGTTGGGTGAATTTGTCTTATCCTGAAGAGTACTGTCTATAGGCGAACACGCCGAGAATTATTGCTCTCAATTTGTGCATTTTGCTTCACCCGCTTAACGCTCTACAAGCCACGTTCAACAAAGCAAATGCAAGACAGAGACAAATTCAATTAATCAATTTGCAAAGTACAAAACCCCAATTTCATGAAGAACTGTCGCCATCTCCAAATTTGGTGGTTAATTACCTTGCATATTTCTATGAATATGCTGGTTTCCTATTGATTGAATATTGACATTTGTATAATCCAGTTCCACGAAGCGACCTGTGCTGCACTGCTCTGTCTCTTACCCTTTGGAGGATATAGTGGGTGTGCCAGTCAACGACAATAGGGCAACCTATTAAAGCCTATCTTCGCACTCCCCAAGTGAGGGTAGTTTTTCACTTTACCGGAACATTACATGAGACTCAAGGTTGCTTGGAATCAGAAGAACATTTAGGCATTGCTTCGTCCTCAACAATACCTTTCGCGTCCAATTGGCTCATGGGAGCAAGATCGTGATATTGCCATATATTAACAGGATGTGTTCCCATTCCTTTAAAATTTCAGACTCAAACTTATTGTACTTCTAAAACCAACAATATATCGGCATTTAAAGCGAGGACAACCATTAATCTTACAAACTACACACATTGCATTTCTCGTAACGATAACAGCATCTGATAAAATCGTGTCACCGAATATGAAGATCGCTGTATCTTTCATCTGCATGCTGCTTTCGCGCCTCATATCTTTCTCATAGTACCGTGCACTCTACTCACGGTGCCTAATATTTTCGAGTCAAAATTCTTGAGTTAAGTTCGAAATTTAGCCAGGCTGATATCGATAGGCAAATTATATCGACACAACTTTTCCATCAAAATCGAAGCCACTTCGTGGCAGTGTCAATAATACACGTAGTGACTCAGACATTAAAATATACTGTATTTAGCGTGTAGAAGCGTGTACAGCTTAGTTTAGCACGAATTCAATGAGCGGCAGTTCCTTGATCCTTCATGCTTCCGGTGCTTTTTCCGCTACGTGAATAAATCTTTCTCTGGCAATGAGTGTGGGGACGGTCTGCAGTGGGCCTGTCCAAGCGAATGCCAAACACACTGCACACTGTTTTTCACCACTGCGCTATACAGCGTAAATCTTTACCCGAGGCAAATACTGCAGGTTATCCGTGTAGATGATAAAATGTCTGGAAATGGCTTGGTTGCCTTATCACCAGAAATGGTATTGCGAGCTAGTTCATCTTTTAGTCGGTCCACATGATCACAATACCAGTAAAAGCAGACGCAACTTTTGGGAGGCTAAAAGTTAAGTCCATACTAATATATTGTCATCACACTTGTATTGAAGAGAATGCCAAGTTGTAAGTACTGTGATTTTAGGTATTTGCACCTTTCATATTTGGTGGTATTGTATAAATTTATTGATGTACAATTGGACGAAATTATTATTGCATTGAGAATACTCATTAAAATAGACGTATTGGTATTTGTAAAAAGGTGATAAAGTCATGAAAAGAAAAGATCCATCTTAAACGTGAGCTACTAGCCCGACGTCAAACAATATAGTCAGATTTGCTATGACAGATAGTCAATATATAGACTATTGATCTCAAAAGAGTGGATAGTTAACATACCTTCTCGCGAAAAAGCTTTTCGCGCCAGATAGTTCATTACTTCTGAAGATCTTGGCTTTGATACTGATTGGATCTTGGTTCCTCTCTCGATTGGACAATAAGAAATCAGTCTCTGTGCTTCTGTAACCGTGGACTCGTTTATTCGAGGCTTCCTTAGTATATAGTGCACGGCAACCCCGTTGCACTTAAAAGCACTGGTAGCTAATGTACACTCGAGGTTTTTACATTACTGATTTTTGAGATAATATAATTTGCAGTGTACAAACGCCAGTCCAGCTAAATCCGATTAACACTTTGGCTAGTGTTGATCCCGATAAAGTTGGATAGCTGGCAGCCAAAGACCCCAAGATAGAAGCTGCTCGCTTGTGGCCAGTCACCATTGCGCGTTTTGAGACACCTCTCGGAGCACCCCATCCCTTCACCGGTTTTAAAAAGATGGCACCGACCTTGGGGCCGCAGATTTTAAGCGTCTAAGCGATCGAGGACAGGGACGCAGACAATTTCTCCTTCTGGACAAAAATAATTGATCTGGCCATGTTCCAACGAAGCAACAGCGCGTTACGCTGGCGGTCTCTAAGCGAGGAGGCCGCACGCAGGAGCAGCACCTTACTGCATGACTTTTGCAAAAAGCAGTTCCATAAATGTGAGGAGTTGAAGCGACAGCTGTCGCGGGTGATCGGATGCAGTCGACATTGCTGTTTACATGACAAAGGAACGGAACTTGCAGCGGGGCTGCCGTGGCTCTTTGATTATACGCAGCAAAGCTAAGGTCACCGACCTTACGCTTCTTACAAGAACCAGTACGATG